TTGATTTATTAGTTTGGGTATAGAACGCAACACTGTAAAAAATATTGAATTAAATGCATTAAAAGATGGACAAAAATGTCTAAGAGATTTGACGAAAGATAAGTTGAATCATGATAAGTATCTCAAAAAGTGTAAGTCACGAATTCAAATTTCATAAAACGCTCATCCTCTTTGAGGCCACTTTAGGACTTGCGCCCGGTAATTACTTAATATGTGTAAAATGAGCGAATTGTATATTTTTCAAAACTAGTCTGACAATGTTTAAGATACCCTCATTACTAAAATAAACACTATTTCAAAATTTAAGAAATTAGCTGAATAAAAAGTTGAGTTGTGATAAATACCTTACAAAATATAAGTTATGAATTTGAATTGCATGAAGCAGGCGATATATGTAAAACGAGGGTACTACATGCTCTGAAACTAGTCGGACAAAGTCTCAAATACCCTCGTTATCCAAATATATATATACATTTATATCAAAATTCGCTATGTTATTCCATGTTTTTCAATGTGGTTTTTGGGGCTGTCCACTTGAAAAGACACTCTTTGGTCTCTCTATGCTTTTTGACAATATTCTCACACTATCAAGTCAAATGTCGGGCCCAACTTGTTGGGGTACTCCCCCAACCAAACCAATTGCACTCCATGCCTCTCTGGATTACTCCAATCCTTCAGCTATAAAGCAAAATGTCATTTTGTTATTATTTCTTTTTCTCTTTTACCTTTATTTAACCAACAAAAAAAGATGCATAAAATTCCTAATTTCTTATCTCTCTTTTATAAATTACTTACAGAATTGTGCTACAATAGCTTTAATTATTATAATTTTCAATTCTTCTACGTACACAAAATTTGATCATAGAATTAGATATAAAAGATGTGTGAACTACACATTTGATGGAGCTCACCTCATGGGATAGAGTTGCGTCTAATTTTGTGCATTTAAAAAAAATAATTTTTATAAGATGATTGCACAATATATATATATATATATATATATATATATATAATTTAACTTAACAGATACATTATAATTTCTGGATCAGAAGTTTTTTTTTAAGAACAATTCTGGATCAGAAGTTTGAACAGCCTAATAGTACATATTCTGAATTGAGAAATTGATAGCTTCCCACATGGAGATCATGGTCTTAAAACTAGAAAAATAAAAATACCATGTATGTGCAAATAAATAATATTAAGGTAATACAGTAATAGCATGAAATTAATATTTGGCATGAAATTAATAATTAATATTAAGCCCACATAAATATTTTTGTGTGCAGATTTTTAGAATTTTTAAACAATATATATTTTTAAAATATGTGTGGGATTTTAGACAAAAATCCCCAATAAAAAAAAGTTTAAAAGTTGGATGTTATCTAAAAATGCAAATAAAAACATAAAAAAAAAACAAAACAAAACAAAAACAAAAAACCATGGATAAAATCCCGTTTATATCAAACCTAATCAGTTCTTACCTTCATTTTATCAGCAATTTTATTTAAATTTTTTTTTTCCAACTTGACTTTTAAAATTTCGGGTATTAGTTGGGCCCAAACTAGGTTGCTGCCGCACAACCCCAATCCGATATGAGAGAGGGCAGGCCTTCTGTTAATTATTTATGAGTGGCGTTTGGGCCAGTTGAAGTTCTTGGGTAAGTAGGCCTAAAATAACTTCTTTTGTGGGCCAATTTGTGTATTCTTATTATAAGGGGATTTACATGTAAGCCCTAATAGGTAGACTTATTGTTTAATAGATTCTATGAGAATTAGTGACATTTTTTTAATACATTAATAATTAATTTGACTTTCGAATGCCATTTTTGAATGTTAATTATATTAATAATATTTAAACGATTACTGTCATCGTGATTATCATTGTCATTATGATATTTAGTTGATTGATTATCAAAGACAACACGGTTGGGATCGAGACTATAACTAGATTCATCGAGAAAGTATCATTATTATTTTGGAAATCATTAGGGGGAGTTACGGGCAGGTCCTATGGACCGATTTTATTACCTAGCAAGTCCTATCCAAAAAAATCAAACAGTGCTTTCTATTTTTACTTCTAGACTCAACACTGTAACTCAAAAATTTCAGTGATAAATTCATAAAAACAAACTTATCATTGGTTTAAACAGAGATAAATTCACAAAAACAAACTTATCACTGGTTTATCACTGATTTAAAATAGTGATAAATTTCAGTGATAAATTCATAAAAATAAACTTATCACTGGTTTAAACAAATTCATCATTATTTATCACTGGTTTAAACAAATTTTTCACTGGTTTAAACAAATTTATCATTGGAATCTTCCCCCAATATACAAATAGAGAGAGAGAGAGAGGACCTAGCGGCAAAGAGCCTAGATCCTTGATCTAGAGGTGGAGGCGATGATGACTATGGAGGTGGAAGCGATAGTGGTCGGCAACGACAGTGGAGGTAAAGGCGAATGTGAAGACGTTGGTGGAGGTGAAAGCAATGGTAAAAGTAGAAGAAGATGCCAGCTGAGGTCACCGGCAATGACGATAGTGAAGGCGATAGTGGAGGCGGCAATGGTCAACAATGGTAGAGATGGCGATGGTCATTGGTGGAAGAATGTGTAGAGAGAGAGAGAGCTTCTTCTTTTTTTTTTTTCATTTTTCATCTTTCATCTCACAGATCTGAATATAAAATATGAGGGCAAAAATTGAATAAACAAAAATGTTTAGAACCTATAGATAAAAGAGTCCCCAGTAAAGATCTGTTAAGTAATAACCCTTGAAAATAGGACTAGCCCGTAAAACTCCCAAAAATAAAATTAAAACTTGAAATGTTGATGATGATGATGCTGAGGTGGCGTTGTGGTGTATATGAACAAATAAGAAAAATAAATAAAATAAAAGCTAAAAGGAAAGAGATCATTTTCCATGTAACTTTGCCTTCGTTTGGGAAGTGGGTTGGCTTTTTGGCTTTTTAGCTTTTTTGCCTATTTTAGCCTGGGCTAAAAAGTTTGGTTTGGGAAGGATTTTTTGACTTTTTGGCTTTTTTGACTTTTTTTGTGATAGAAGAATATAATGATTATGGGTTAGATGTGATATTTTGTTTTTTGTGGCTAAAATAGCCTATTTTGTCTTTTGTAGCTAAAATAGCCTAAAAAGCCCCATTTAGCTCTTGCCAAACGGAGCCTTAAATAATATATGCTTTTAAAAAATAAATTTTGAAAATAAAATCAAACAGAGCCTTGGATTTTGTAATCTCCAAAAATCATAGCATATAGCTAACTAATTTTTTTTTTTTTGTTAGAAATTCCCAAAACTCTATACGGAAAAAAAAAATTTATTTTTTTTGGGTAGCCAGACTACATAATCTTATTTATTTATTTATTTTTTGGATCTTTTGGCACATAATTTTATTTTTTATATTTTTTTGTTCTTGCACATAATTTTAGGAATTTTTATGGGCCAGTCATATTTTTAAGGGTTATTACCCAACAGGTCCTTAATGGAGACTCTTTTACCTATAGGTCCTGAACATTTTTGTTTATTTCATTTTTGCCCTCATATTTTATACTCAGATTTGTGAGATGAAAAATGAAAGATGAAAAATGAAAAAAAAAAAAAGAGAGAAGAAACTTTCTCTCTCTCTCTCTCTCTCTTTCTCTCGCTATACATTTCTTTACCAACGATTGTCGCCATCTATACCGTTGTCGACCACCACCGCTTCCACTGTCGTTAATTTTGGCGACCTCAACCGGCATCTTCTTCAACTTTCACCATTGTTTCCACCTCCACCGATGTCTTCGCCTCCACCGCCACCAACATTTTCGCCTCCACCTCCACAGTCGTCATCGCCTCCACCTCTAGATTTAGGATCTAGGCTCTTTGCTGCTAGGTCTTCTCTCTCTCTCTTTGTATATTGGGGGAAGATCCCAGTGATAAATCTGTTTAAACCAGTGATAAATTTGTTTAAACTAGTGATAAGTTTGTTTTTGTGAATTTATCACTAAAATTTTTGAGGTGTCGTTTGGGAAGTGGGTTGGTTTTTTGACTTTTTTGGCTATTTTAGCCTGGGTTAAAAATCTTGATTTTGGAAGGATTTTTTGGCTTTTTTAGATTTTTTTGTGAGAGAAGAGTGTGATGATTATGTGTTGGATGTGATGCTTTGTTTGTTGTAGCTAAAATAGCTTATTTGGTCTTTTGTGGCTAAAATAGCCAAAACCATCTTCCCAAACGAGACTTGAGTTACAGTGTTGAGTCTAGGGGTAAAAATGAAAAATATTGTTTGATTTTTTTGGATAGGACCTGTTAGGTACCAGCTCGTAACTCCCCATAATAATTTCTAAATTAATAATAATACTTCTTCTGATGAATCTAATTCTAGTCCCGATCCCAATCGCGTCGCCTTTAATAATCAATCAACTAAATCTCATCATGACAATGATAATCACGATGACAGTAATCATTTAAATATTATTAATAGAATAAATATTTAAAAATGACATTTAAAAGTCAAATTAGTTATTAATATATTAAAAAATATCATTAATTATCACAGAACCTATTAAACAATAAATCCACCTATTAAGAGTTACGCGTAACTCCCCATTATTTTTCTGGGTGCTCTCTTTAAAGAAACCCTAGCTTAAGTCTGAAAATTTTGTTCAAGTTATGGAAAAATTTTAAACGAGCAAAATTATATATATTTCAGATCTTTCAAATTCTGTTATGCAGAGAGAGATTGAATTTCAATTAGGCATTGCCAAGTGTGAGAGTTCTTTGGCTAGTGCCAGTTGAACAAATCAAATATGTGTACTCACCATTGACAACATATGAACTATAAACTCAGATGTCCTGAGTTTATTGGTAGTCACAAGATTTTAATTGTTGAATATGCTTAGTAGCGTTTGATTCAATAGAAAATGAACATTTTAATAGAATGATCGTTCAATTCAGTCCAATGAACCAAGCATAGCAGTTGAGTATACAGTTCAACCTTACTTTTGGAAGAATGGGAATTTGTAGTCTTGTCTCTATTTTGAGCTCTAGACATTCATGTAGTTTTCATTTCATGCTTGCTTGCAATTCGCATGCCTTCTCTTTGATAATGCATCATCAATCCTTACATCTGTGTAGGTCTTGTTACACCACTTCAACTTCCAGTGAAGCAGACACAAAACATTAATACAAACAGGCACACCTTCAACAAGCCTTTCAAATGTCACTGCTGCAGAATTTTTAGTTCAGCTGATAATTTCAAAAACAGTGACAACAAAACAACCAGAAAGTGCAAGTCATTGAAGCAATACTTCTTTCCCATAGAAAATGGTTGTGCATCAAAACCTAAGGATAAAAATCTGACAACAATTCAAAGTGATCTTTTTAAGCAACTGAATGCATTCTACCTGTTTTCGCGTCCACACACCGTGATTGGCACTGTGAGTACTTCCATTTGTTCTCTCACACTTGCTTGGGAATAACATTGAGAAATATGCCTCCTTTTTTAGTGTAGACAAGTTGAGAAATTTACTTTTAGTTTATCACATGTATGAGTTTACCCATTTTGATTGATGATCAGCTTATAGGAATAACATCCATTTCTATTCTTCCTTTGGAATCCACTGCTGATCTGTCCCTGGCATTTTTGGTGGGATTATTGAAGGTAAGTTTTAGTGAGATAAAGAAATTGTATGGGGATGACTTCTGCACTAGGATGGAACACTGGCCTGAGCGCTTGCTCCTAGTGATCTGACAATCAGAGAGAGCCTGAAAGACAAAGAACAGTAAGTCTAGACAGCCAATGAGTGACCAGAAAGCCCGTCCGATGCTTGAGAGAGAGAGAGAGAGAGAGAGAGAGAGAGAGAGAGCAAATTAGGGTTTGGGTGCTTGGAGCAAGCGCTCAGGCAACGTTCCACCCTAGTGCGGAATTCATCCCCATACAGAAATGTAATTTCATTTGATGGGTATTTTGGTAAACATCTTCCATTTATATTGCAGGCATTAGTGCCATCGATATTAATGAACCTTTATGTGGTGGGAATTAACCAGCTGTTTGATGTTGACATAGACAAGGTAATTGAACATTTTAGGTTAAAAAACAATCAATATAATTGAATGATTTTAGAGCTCCGAATAAAATGATCTTTACATGCGTGTTATCTTTTGCTTGCTTCTAAGCTTTGCATTGTGTTTTGATTAGGTGAACAAACCTGATCTCCCCCTACCTTCCGGAGAATTTTCAATGGAGTTTGGAATGGCAATGGTGTCCACATATCTATTGATGGTTTGTATGTTGATCCCCTGGTAGATTTACTTAGTTGTGATCAAAACAAGTATTGTTTCAATCAAGCTTTTTGAGACGTAGCGTTTCCAAAACTCTTGGTTTTGTGTTTAAGTAACATGACCTTTCCCATAAGTATTGAAGGTTGTCTTTCACAAATCAGATTTTCTAGTTTGCCTAACAGACTTTGAATCTAAAGCGTCTGGGATGCAGAAAATTTTCTAGCATTGTATGTATTGGTTGCGTCCTTGAGGGACATATATGCTATCTGGTTTTCTGTATCATTGATTGTTTGACTATCTTTTCAGAGTTTCACAATGGGAATTATGTTTCAGTCCCTGCCATTGTTTTCTGCCCTGCTTGTAAGTTTTCTACTGGGGAGTGCATACTCTGTCGAGGTAAATTCCACACCTGTCTCCATTTTTTTCCTATTATTAGGCTTAAATATTAACAATAAAACTAATTACCATACAATATGAATGATGAGACATCCGTTACAATTTAAGCTTTAGTATTGAACACAACTTTCTCTGCTTCTTAGAGGGTGTGATGAGTCCATAAAATCCCACAATTTCCGGGACAATGATTTTTGTTCACTCTTTCACATAGAAATAGGGGCATTTAACAGTAATTTTATTATGTCTACATACTCATAATGCAATCTTGATACAAGCAAACATGGATAGGTTTGGTTGTGCCCCATCTTGCTGACATGTACATTCTTAATATTTTTTTGCGATTTAATTATACGTATTTAGACTTATTATTCAAATGTGCCACATTGGCTACCACTTCCACAAACCTTCGAAGGGTTTGGTAGCAAACCATACGTGGAAAAGGAATAAAAATGATATAAGAGAAAGGGCACATAAAAATCATGTGCCATCCCTCGAGTACTATGAAGTTGTTTCATATATCCATGTTGATAGATTAGAGACATAGTATGACTAAGTATATATGTTTGCTTAATTTGTGTTTGTTGCAGCTTCCCTTGCTCAGATGGAAAAGAAATGCATTCCTTGCTGCAATATGCATCTTGATTGTGAGGGCAATTATCATTCAACTAGCCTTCTTCATACACATCCAGGTACTTTCGCAAATCCTCCATATTTGTAACTAAATCATTTCGCAACCAACACGCCATTATCATGTTGTTCCAACCCACATGCATGCAAAACCATGCATGCAAGCAGAGGGTCAAAGAAGATGGCGTAAGAAGACCTCCACTGGAAGTGAAAGTCTATGCTGGGCATATCTGCAAGTTTCTCTCTTCCCTTCTCTTCACGTTGTTGTTCCCTATTGATTTTTACCATTCACCATTAAAGAGGGTTGAAATTTTTTGGTGGGTTGGTGTATCTCTCTCTTCCACTCTTTGTGTATAAATAGAGACGGAAGGGAGAGGATGTATGATATCAGAAATTGGAGAGTGAGAGCTGTGAGTTGAGTGAGTTTCATCTCCTCCTCTGTATTTGTATTTTGCTCCATTTTAGTGAAAAATTCTCATTTCTGTCCGTGGATGTAGGCATTGGGCCGAACCACGTAAATATTGTGTTCTCTGTGTGTGTGAGATAATTTTTTTAGGTGTGTTTGATCCTAACAAAGTGGTATCAGAGCTGGTTGAGTCTCTTTCGGAAAAACAGAGTGCATTTTTCGGAAATGCCCAGAAATCAAAGTGGTCGAAATCCACTTTTGATCACACCAGATTAAAGCCCTCGACAAGACGATCACAGAGGCGAAAACCACGCCGAAAACGGAGATCGGACGGTCACACATGCGCCACACGCGCCTTGTGACGCCGTTCCCACGCGCCCCCACCCTCACACGTGCCTCACGCGCTTCCAGAGGAAGAAGAAGCGTGAATTCACGCGCATACACGCGTCGCACGCGCGCGCGCCAGCCGACGTCATCAGCCAAGCCGAGCCTTCCAGCCGCTGACCAAGCCGATCGAAGCTGAGCTGTTAAGCCGAGCCGGGACGAAGCCAAAGCCGCTGACTGAGCCGTTGACTGAGCCGCTGAAGTCAGCCCAACGCCAGCCGAACCGGAGAAATAATCTGGTGCTTCTCAGCCGCACCAGATTTTGTTGATCTGAACCATTCAATCTGTTTTGGCTTGATCTAAGCCATTTGAGGTCCGATTTGGGAGATCCAATAGTGCTTTCCAACTATTTAGAATATTCCGGACACATCTGTATGGTCATATTTTTCAAATCAGCTTTCAAAAATTTTCCGTCTTTCTTTTGGCAATCCGAAGTGTTTTTCGGGCTAATTTGACCAGTCCGGACTCCACAGCAAAATCTGTTTTTCAGCCAGAGATCATTTTTTGTATGATGGGGGAATTAACATCGACTTCAGGTTCCATGATAAAGTTAAATGCTTCCAATTATGCCATTTGGAAGCCTAGAATGGAAGATGTCTTGTACTGCCGAGATTTGTTTGACCCCATTGAGCTTAATGGAGTTAAACCACTAACGGAAAAAGACGAAGACTGGAAGCAGAAGAACCGAAAGACCATTGGCCAGATCAGACAATGGATCGATCACAGTGTCTTCCACCATGTCGCCCAGGAGACTGATGCCTATGCTCTCTGGACAAAGTTAGAAGGTATGTACCAGTCGAAAACTGCTCGAAACAAAGCCCTCCTGATGAGAAGACTTGTGAATTTGAAGTTGAAAGGCGATATCTCTATTGCTGAACACATCAGTGAATTTCAAAATCTGGTGAACCAACTAGCAACTGTCAAAATGGAGTTAGATGATGAGATGCAGGCCCTATTGCTGCTCAGTTCTTTGCCAGACAATTGGGAGACATTGGTGGTGTCCCTCAGTAACTCTGCCCCAGAAGGGAAACTGACCATGAGCATGGTTACAGATGCTTTTTTTAGTGAAGAGGCAAGAAAGAAAGAAATGGGTGGAGATCAATCCTATGCCCTCGTCACAGAAAATAAAAGCAGAGGCAGAGGCAGAGGCAGGGGCAGGGGAAGAAGCAAAAGTAGAGGACGCAGCAGAGGAAGATCTCAAGACAGAGGGAAATCCAAAGAAGGTACGAGCCGGCCAAGGTTCAAATGTTACCATTGTGGCCAGGACGGTCACATAAAGAAATATTGTTATGCCTTGAAAAGAGAACAAAAACAAGGCGATAGACAGCCAAAGACCGAAGATGGGAACACTGCGGTTACTGTCTCAGAGGATATTGCATTATTCTCTGTTGAAGAAGAAGAATGCCTCCATATGTCAGACAACGACACCGAGTGGGTGGTAGATACAGCAGCTTCCTACCACGCTACATCCCAGAAGGAGTTCTTCAGTACATACAAAGCTGGAGATTTTGGTACAGTGAAGATGGGTAACTTCAGTTTTTCGAAGATTGTGGGAATTGGTGATGTTCGCATCCAAACCAAAGTTGGGTGCACGATGGTGTTGAAAGATGTCAGGCATGTTCCCGATTTACGCTTGAATCTTATCTCAGGGATAGCCTTAGATTGACAAGGCTATGAGAACTACTTCGGCAAAGGCATATGGAAGTTGAAAAAGGGATCTCTGGTGGTAGCCAAAGGACAAGCAATTGGCACACTATACAAGACTCATGTGGAGGTGAATTCAGATAGCCTCAATGCAGCAGAAGATGAGGCGTCACCAAATTTGTGGCACAAAAGGCTGGGTCACATGAGTGAGAAAGGGTTGCAGATTTTGGCAAAGAAGTCACTTATTCCCTTTGCCAAAAATGCAAAATTAAATCCTTGTGACAACTGCTTGTTTGGGAAACATCATAGAGTCGCTTTCCATTCATCATTCAGAAGACAATCAGAATTGTTGGGCAGAGTATACTCTGATGTTTGCGGTCCCATAGAAGTGGAATCTTTGGGTGGTAGAAAATACTTCCTGACGTTCATTGATGATGCATCACGGAAAGTATGGGTTTATGTCTTAAAGACCAAAGCTGAGGTGTTCCAGCATTTTCAGACATTCCATGCTATGGTGGAAAGGGAGACCGGAAAGAAGCTGAAGTGTCTCCGAACAGACAATGGAGGCGAGTACACGTCAAAGGAATTTGAAGCCTACTGTGCTACTCACGGCATCCGGCATGAGAAGACTGTTCCTGGAACCCCACAACACAATGGTGTAGCTGAGAGAATGAATCGAACCATTGTAGAGAAGGTCAGATGTATGCTTAAAATGACAAAGCTACCAAAGCCATTTTGGGGAAAAGCTGTTCGTGTTGGTTGCTATTTGATCAACAGATCGCCATCAGTTCCACTGAATTTTCAGATTCCAGAAGAAGTATGGTCTGGAAGGGGGATCTCTTACTCTCACTTGAGAGTGTTTGGGTGCAAAGCATTTGCACATGTATCCAAGGAGCATAGGCAGAAGCTGGATGACAAAGCCACTCCATGCATCTTTATTGGCTATGGAGATGAAGAATTTGGATACAGATTATGGGATCCGAAAAACAAGAAGGTCATTCGAAGCCGAGATGTGGTGTTTCAAGAAGGCCAGACCTTCGCAGACTTTAGGCAACCAGCCAAACCCAAAGTTGATGATGTTTCAGAAATTATTCCAAACCCTGCACCATCACAGCATGCCACTGATGAAGAAGAGTTACCGCAGCATGCAGTCAATGATGTAGAGTTGCAGGATGGATTTCTAGAAGAAGAAGATCCAGAAGCAGAGGGTGTTGAGCAGGGGGAGCCATAACCCCCTCTACCAGAGACTGTTGGTCCACAGTTACGAAGATCAACAAGAGAATTTAAGCCGTCAACCAAATACCCTGCTTCTGAGTATATTTTGCTTACCGATGAGGGGGAGCCAGAAAGTTTTCAAGAAGCTCAAAATCATAAGGAGAAGAGTAGCTGGCAGCAATCTATGCAAGAAGAGATGCAATCCTTGCAGAAGAATCAGACTTATGATTTGGTGAAACTTCCCCAGGGTCGAAAAGCATTGCAGAACAAATGGGTGTTCAAGTTGAAGAAAGATGGCAGCGGAAAGCTAGTCAAGTATAAGGCTCGATTGGTTGTCAAAGGTTTTGGGCAGAAGAAAGGTATTGATTTTGATGAAATCTTCTCGCCAGTTGTGAAAATGACATCCATTCGAGTAGTTTTGGGACTAGCAGCTAGTTTGAATTTGGAACTTGAACAAATGGATGTGAAGACAGCATTTCTCCATGGTGATCTGAAGGAAGAAATTTACATGTAGCAGCCAGAAGGTTTTGAAGTCAAAGGGAAAGAAAACTTAGTCTACAGATTGAAGAAGAGTCTCTACGGCCTCAAACAAGCGCCGAGACAGTGGTACAAGAAGTTTGACTCATTCATGGTAAGTCATGAGTACAAAAAAACTGCTGCAGACCAGTGTGTTTATGTCAGGAAATTTCCCGGTGGAAACTTTATCATACTTCTGCTCTATGTTGATGACATGTTGATCGTTGGACAAGATGCCACAACAATCAGATCACTGAAGAAGGAGTTATCACAGTCCTTTGACATGAAGGACCTAGGCCCTGCATAGCAAATTTTGGGTATGAATATTGTGCGTGACAGGAAAGCCAAGAAGTTGTGGCTGTCACAGGAGAAGTACGTTGAACGAGTGATTGAGAAGTTCAACATGAAAGATGCCAAGCCAGTCAGTACTCCGCTGGCTAATCATTTCAAGCTGAGCAAGAATTCTTGTCCCTCCTCTACGAAGGAAAGACAAGAGATGGAGGCGATTCCGTACTCATCCGCTGTAGGGAGTTTGATGTATGCAATGGTGTCCACCCGACCAGATATTGCTCATGCAGTTAGAGTTGTAAGCAGATTCCTTTCCAATCCAGGAAAAGAGCATTGGGAAGCAGTCAAGTGGATTCTGAGGTACCTCAAGGGTACAGCAAAAATGTGTTTGTGCTTTAGAGATGCTAAACCAGTCTTGGAAGGCTATACTGATTCAGATATGGCAGGCGATCTTGATGGTAGGAAATCTACATCAGGATTTCTGTTCACTTTCACAGGGGGAGCTGTGCCTTGGCAGTCCAAGCTGCAGAAGTGTGTTGCTTTAGCCACAACCGAGGCAGAGTATATTGCAGCAGCAGAAGCTGGGAAAGAAATGTTGTGGTTGAAACAGTTTCTCCAAGAGTTGGGATTAAAGCAAGAAAAGTTCACGGTACACTGTGATAGCCAGAGTGCCATAGACCTGAGTAAGAATTCAATGTACCATTCTCGCACAAAACACATTGATGTTCGGTATCATTGGATACGTGAAGTGATGGACAAGCAGTTATTGGAACTAACCAAGATTCACACAGATAAGAATCCAGCTGACATGCTTACAAAGGTGGTCTCAAGAGACAAATTCGAAATTTGCAGAGACATTGCAGGGATGGACTTCAAGTGAGAAGTCAGTCATGCATGTGGGTATGGAGGGGGAGAATTGTTGTTCCAACCCACATGCATGCAAAACCATGCATGCAAGCAGAGGGTCAAAGAAGATGGCGTAAGAAAACCTCCACTGGAAGTGAAAGTCTATGCTGGGCATATCTGCAAGTTTCTCTCTTCCTTTCTCTTCACGTTGCTGTTCCCTATTGATTTTTACCATTCACCATTAAAGAGGGTTGAAATTTTTTGGTGGGTTGGTGTATCTCTCTCTTCCACTCTTTGTGTATAAATAGAGATGGGAGGGAGAGGATGTATGGTATCAGAAATTGGAGAGTGAGAGCTGTGAGTTGAGTGAGTTTCATCTCCTCCTCTGTATTTGTATTTTGCTCCATTTTAGTGAAAAATTCTCATTTCTGTCCGTGGATGTAGGCATTGGGCCGAACCACGTAAATATTGTGTTCTCTGTGTGTGTGAGATAATTTTTCTGGGTGTGTTTGAACCTAACATATCAATCTTTTCTGTTTAGATTAACTAATACGATTAATAAAATCTTTATATAGAAATATGTGCTCAGTAGACCGGTGGTGTTTACAGAATCACTTGTATTTGCAATTGGTTTCACGTGCTTGTTCTCCACTATTATTGCACTATTCAAGGTAACCCTTAAGAGACTATTAATTATTCATTTCCAATTGTCATTGTCTCTGCTGCATACAACCAACCAGTCTAAATTAAAACTTCAATGCCAAAATGATCTCTCTAAAATGTTGTTTATACCAACGATGACTAATTTGAATTTGTATGGTTTGTTAACAGGACATACCTGATGTGGATGGCGATAGAGAATTTGGCATTCAATCATTCAGTGTCAGCCTAGGGCCAGAAAAAGTTAGCAAAACAAAATGCTTTCATTTTTTAATTACCTTGCTCTGCTTTAATGGTTGCCAAGTAATGGGTGGAGAGGGGAAAATTGGAATCTTTCAACATTGATTCTGAACATTTGCTCTATCAAATCCATGGAAATAAGTTTTCATCAGTCTAAATTTTTTTCTTTCACCCATCTTTTTGAAAGAGCAGTTTGGCCAAAGTAATCACCATGATTAATTAAGAGTGGTACTAATAGCACCCTATCAATTATTTTGGATTCTCTACTTCTTTGGGCCTCCACTTATAAATTTTGAAACTCTAAAAATTTCTTTTCTCCCCTCCCAAAAAAAAATAATATCAAAATTATTCTTGTGAAAGTATTTCACCCATTAAATGCACACTTCCCACACCCTCACATCCCCAAAAAACCCTTCTTTCAAAAAACCCTAACAAAGCCCACCAAGAAGAAAAAGAGCCAATGTGATTACTGTCTCTGCTATCTCATCCACTATTGTCACAGTTGATATGCTCTCTCTCTCTCTCTATATATATATACATAATTTCTTAGTTTTCTCGTAATAATTTCTTCTCCTGTAAGAAAAAAAAATTATAATAATTGGTTTAATTGGTTTTGTTGGTAGATTTTATAAAATTGTGAGCTCAGCAAAGAACTACACAGCAATATTATCAAAGCTATGCATGAAGGAATAACTTTTGAACTTGGTAATAGATTTGGGCTACTTCTGATAACTTCTACAAGTGTTAATTTTTGACTATTTAATGTGTTAAGAAATTTCGATGTTCGGGCTTGTATTCCCGAACTTGAAATAATGAAAACTTCTGCAAGTATTAATAATTTTGACCATTCAATATGTTAAGAAATTTTCATGTTTGAACCTGCATTCCCGAACATTACTTATTACCGAACAAATAAGTAATGTTCGGGACCTGTATTCCCGAATTTAAAAAAATGAAAACTTCTGCAAACGTTAACAATTTTGACTGTTCAATGTGTTAAGAAATTTTCATATTCTGACCTGCATTCCCGAACATTACTTATTCGTTCGGGAATGCCTTTCCGAACAAATAAACAATGTTCGGGCCTATATTCCCGAATTTCAATCATATGTTTGGGAGTTCGGCCCTGAAAAAATGACGAACATATTTTATTATTTTTATCATTTTTTTAAAAGAAATTTACCTTTATAAGACCAATTTCCTTTGAACTAAGAACAACCTCAAGTTATGAACCTCTTATAGGCCCCGTTTGTTTGGGGTTATAGGGAAGGGATTGGGATTGATAGTGAGGTGAGACTACTATATGGGATGTTTGTTTTGAGAGATGGGGAGGGGACTCCTAATCCCTTGGTATCAGGAATGGCAACAGGGCGGGGCGGGGCGGGACCGGGATCCTACTCCCCGTCCCCGATCCCCGATGGCCAATACTTCCTCGTCCCTAGCCCCGATCTCGACAGGGAACCTATCACGGTCCCCGTCCCCGCCCCCAACGGGGATTAGGTTTCCTTGACCCCGAAAGTTCCCCGATCCAAATCCGTTTCAACATTCAACACAAAGACATACTCACATGTATACATTCAACACAGAGACATTCAACAACATTCAACAAATACATACATACATACATACATACATACATACTCACATGTATACATTCACAAGCACACACATGCATTATACATACACACAGAGACATACACATACATGTATACACAGAGAGAGAGAACGACGGAGGGGATCGGCGTAGATCAGCTGATTGGCGACGACGAACGGCTGATTGGCGTAGATCGGATGAGATCAACATAGATCTGAGAGAGGGCAGCGATGGAGGTAGAGCGAACGGCGAAGTCGACAGAGGTGAAAGCTGCGCTGAGGAGGAGACAAACGGCGGAGACGACGACAAGGTGGACAGCGACTCTGGCATCGCGGACAGTGACGGCTACATTGAGGAGGCGGAGAGGAGAGGTGCGATGCGAGAGTGAGAGAGAGGAGAGGTGCGAGAGTGAGAGAGTGTAGAGGGAAGAGAGAGAGTGAGAGAGAGAGAGAGACAGAATAGAATAGTTGAGGGTTATATATTAACTATTAAGGGGCATATATAATAAGTTTGATTCGGGGGGCTAACGGGGACGGCGTCGAGGCCGGGGGTGAAACATATATCACCGTCCCCGGCCTGAAAATCATCGGGGCTTTATTTTTTAGTACCATCCCTGACCCGTAGGAGATATTTTTCGAGGAAAAATCGCTTTAATCGGGGTCGGGGGGTCGGGTCCCCGTCGGGCCGATTTCAAATTGCCATCCCTACTTGGTATTAGTAAAGGCCTTGGAAGGAGGATTGAGAAGGAGGAGGTAGAGATGATATTAGAAAAATAGTAAGGGGATTAGAAATTTTTTTATTTTTTATATGTTGGGAATTTTTTTAAAAATATTAATGTTTAATTTTTTATATTTTTTTATTTGTTTTATTATTTTATATAAAAATAATTTAACAATTCCTACACTAACAACTATCATCAAAACAAATATAATTTTACTTAATCCCCTCACTAACAATCCCTTCACTATTAATCACCTCACTATAAATCTCATCCATTCTACCTCTGAAAACAAACGGGACCCTAAGCTTTTATTGTTGTACTCATCTCGTTTTATGGAGTTGTGGTTACTAAAAAAACTTTCACTCGTTGTCATTGTCGGAGAAATATAGGCAGTCAAATGGTTGCCACTGTTACCACTGAAATATTGCTGCCAAAGAGTTTTTCAAGTTTTGAGAGTGGGTAAATTTTGAAAGTAAGATATGAAAAAGATGAATGGATGGTGATGGAAGTAGATGCTCTTATGAATCCTAATTCATGATATAATAGGTGCGCACGTTTAATTGTGAGATGGACTGTCCTAAAAGTAATAATGTTCTTTTTAATAATTTTATGGAGTTTTCTTAAGTGTGCAAGTGCACACCATGTGCCACTTACACAAAAAGTGTAAGTGTAAGGTGTAAGTATAAGTATAAGGTGTAAGTGTAAGGTGTAAGGTGTAAGTGGCTTGCACATGGTGTGCAACCTCAAAAAAGGTGTAAGTGTAAGGTTTAATTTTTTACAAAAGGTGTAAGTGTAAGGTATAAGGTATAAGGTGTAAGTTGCACACCATAACCAAACCTTAATTTTATTTGAGATTATTATTGTAATAAAAAAAGTTAAAAATTGGAAAGTCCAAACTAATTTATACGGTACTAACAACAGTGCTAACTTTTTGATATGTAAATATCTTTTTTATCCCTACTAATTGTAAATTAAATTACGGTTTTAGTTGGTAGCTCAAAATTTAGGGGCCCGAATGCCCCTAAATTTCCATATAAGGCAAAAAAAAAAAAAAACAAGGCAAAAAAAAAACGAAAAAAAAAAAAAGAAAAAAAAAACAAACTTATCCAAAACAGGAAATTAGGGTCATTAGGGCCACTGTTTTTAGGGCCACAATTCATTTTCCATTAAATTAACCTTTGTTAGTTGTAAATTGAACTAAACTGTTATTTTTTTTGTTATTCATTACTAGCCCACATTTCTCATTAAATAAAAAATAAAAAATTAATCCACAATCTATTTGGGTCTTTTTTTATTTTTATTTTTATTTTTTTTTAAAAAAAAATTCTAAATACTAAAAGTAGTTGAATCAGAGCAGGGGTTGAAACTTGAAAGTGGGTCAAGGTTTACCCAAATGTGAAGCAATTGGAAATTACTTTATAAGCCCCACATTAATGAATTGGGCCACCAAATCAAACTTGGAAAGAAGCTCCCTAGGAAGCCCAATTCTTGGATGAGTCATTTGAATTTGATTCATTGAATGTATGTTTTTTCACATAAACAACTGAGTTGATGACTAATTATCCAACATTTTGGCGTAAACCCTTTCTTTGGCTTAGTGCATTTAGTCATATGTTTGGTTGGTGATTGATGCAATTGCTCATTGATGTCACAATCTGCATCAAAGACCTACTTGAATACTTTGTTGGAGCATTTCATCACCATGCCTAACTATTTCAGCTACCACTATTAACTCTACAATTTCCCTTTTTCATAACCAAATTTCACACCAAATTGAGCTCAACAACCATATCATATTGAATTTGGATAATGAGGTGGAAGATCTCAAAATCATTCTAGCTGAGATTAACATATTTAACCCTTGTCAACTAAAACAAGTCTAGTTTCGTACTTTTAAGTGTAATTTTAGGGAGATGTTTTAATTCTTAGTGATTGCTCCAAAGCTTTTATGATTTTGAAGAGGGCACAAACCGATGGATAGGTGATTTAGGTTCCGTGATCAAGAAAATACGCACGTGAATGTTGGAATACTTTGATTTTCTTCTTGTACAGACATCGTCTCTTTGAAACTGATAAATTATTTATCACTCTTTTTTGGCTTTTAAAATGTCCAAAAATGATATAGATTTTTAGATTGGACTAATTGAAGCAGGATGCGTAGTTAGCACTTAACAGCACATTGCTTTGCAATCACAAACAAAAACAAATTGTACTGACCATGAATTATGTTCATAGAAATTGGAAAGGTGTTTGTTCTATGCTTGAGTTGTGAATACCATTTAATTAACTAATGCGGGTTGTGGTAGGCCTGTCAATAGATCGGATTCAGATGAGATCTCAAGTAATCTGAATCTAACCTAATTTATTATAATACTCTTTTTTTTTTTTTGATTTTTTATAATTACAATTAGAATTTCACTTTCTTAATTTTTTTTCCCTAGTTGGTGCTCATTTTTTAAAAATATAATAGTCGTGTGTATACATATAAAATGTAAGAATGAAAATCAGATCAAATTGATAATCAGATTGGATTATCTGAATCCAATCCAACAATAATCGAACCAAGATTTTATTGGATTTATCTATTCAAATTTTATTGGATTATTGTATCGGATTTGGATTAAATCCAATCTGTTGACAGGCCTAGTTGAAAAATGCAGATTCGCTAATTTGCACATCAATATTTGCAGGTTCAGCTTGGACAATACTATCAAGATCATTTGCAGAGTACTGCTTAGTTGGTTGGGACAACCTACCAAGGACTCTTCTCCTCTACTACACAAATTTTGTCTCCTCTCCGGAGGGATACTTCCAGACCCTCATATGCAACTCCCAGGACTACAAGAACACCACGGTGAACCACGATCTACATTACATCACTTGGGATAATCCTCCAAAGCAACATCCCAGGTCCCTCGGACTCAAAGATTACAGAAGAATGGTCCTAAGTAGCCGTCCATTCGCCAGGAAATTCAAGCAAAATGACCCGGTCCTTAACAAGATAGACCGCGATCTTCTCAAGAGGCGTCGTGGACAATTCTCATATGGGGGTTGGTGTTCTAAGGATGAAATTGGAAAGTCACATGGTACGTGTCCGGGTTTGGAGAGTGAGAAATATGGTGTTTTAAGAACTGGGACGGGGTCGAGGAGGTTGAGAACTTTGCTGACAAAACTGTCGTCTGCCCAGAGCTTTAATAAGCGGCAATGTAAATGATTTTTTGAAACTGTGTGAACGAATAAAAGCCGAGGATAATGTTAAAAGTACCCGGTATACTGTGGGAAGGGTAAGTAGTTAGCCATTGAAATTGTTTGTACAATTAGGTGGTTGAAAAGATGTTATGATATCTTCATTGTGAAATTTCACAATTTTTCAGAAGAGAGCTGGTTATGGGTTGTAATGTTTCCCTTGTACCTATAGATATGTGATTTTTTACTTTGTATTTCAATATATTTGTTAGAGCAATGCTAGGTATCATGAAAAAACTTTCATGAAAATGATCATGAAAGATTTATGACCCTTGGATTACACTTAAAATAAAACACTACACACTAATCAAGGTAATCCAAGGGTCATAAATTTTTCATGACCAGTTTCATGAAAGTTTTTTCATGATCCCTATCTTTTCTCTATTTGTTATGATGCTTTTGCTTTGAAGGCAATTCTGAGATGAGAAGACAATAGTGAGATATGCTGGGGCTGCTGTGGTAGAGATTATTCTAAATGTAGAAAAAAAAAGGGCAGATTCATTTAGGGCAAGCAATTCGAGTTCCACACATTAAAAGTTTATTTTGACATTAACTTGCTGTATAAATAAATCAAAGTTAAATACATTTTAAAATTCATTTAGTTCTAAAATAAAGTTTTGTGCGTCAACACCGTTTGGTGGTTTGGCCAATATTGTTTTGCAATACTGGCATATACACGTGTGAGGAATGGAGAGGACAATATAACCACACGTCCAACAAAGGACAATAGAGGTAGTGTGCGCACAATTTGGGACTGCATGGCCAGCCTAGAAAAGGAGGCGTGAGCAAACTTTAAAAGGTAAGAAAACTTTAACAACTCCCTCTCTCTCTATAGTGCTTGACCTTTTCTCTTCTCCAACAAAACTAACTTGGTCGTTGGAGGATTTTTCTGGCAACCCACCTGCCGGATAGCTCACCCTTGTTTTGCCCTTAGATTGAACGACTTTATTCAGATTAACATGGAGCTTGGATCCAAGGAGTACGGAGAGTGACGAATATTTGTTTCCCGTACAGTTCCTTATAGTTTGAAAAATTACAAATATCTCATTGTTAATTTTTTTTTTATTTAATAGAATTAATTATGAAAATAAAATTCATAACTGCTCTCCTATATAATAATAAAATTATGTTAATTATTAATTGAAATAAATTTATGATATTATTAAAAACTGTTAATTGAGTTAATGTTTTATTAATAAAATGAGCCATTTATTATTAAATTAGAAAATTCAAGGGAATGAAATATAATTTCTAAAATCACAAAGAACAAAATCATATTTTAAACCAACATTAAGAATGTATTTTTAATTTATCGAAATTAAAAATTTGAATAACAAAAACAAAAAGAGAGAGAAGATATATAAAAGCAGTTTTGATTGGTAGCTCGAAAATAATAAGGCTGTTGCTTTGGATTTTTTTTTTCTTTCTCATTTTTCTGAAGAAGAAGAAGAAGAAGAAGAAGAGAAGACAAGAAAGAGAGAAGAGGGAGCTAGGCATCATCATCAACAACATCTTCACCAACACATCATCATCATCATCAATCAACAACATCTTCATCAACACATCATCATCATCAACAACAACATCTTCATCAACATCATCATCATCATCATCATTATCAACACATCATCATCAACAACAATTTTTTTTTTCTTTTCTTTTCTTTTTCCTTCATCTTCAAATCTAGATCCACTAGAGATCATCATCAACAACAACACACATCATCATCAACAACAACCAACAATCACCACCAAATATATATATATATATATATATTGTAAAAAAAATTTGTAGAATTTGAAACAGAAGCAAGAGAAAACAAGAAAATTATACAAAATAAAAGCAAGATTTTTAAAAACTGTTTTTGGGTTTTGTTTATTTTAAGAAGTTGGGGCAAAACAAATTTAAAGAAAGGGAGCTCTGGAAGGTGAACCCTAGGTTTGAATATAGATTAGAAAACAAAGCTACAGTGATGGGATTTGAGTGAAGACAAAGGGATATAAAGGCAGAGGAGGAGGAGGAAATGAATAGGTGAGGGGGGACAAACAGTCACAACCCAAAAGAAATAAATCAAGAAATGAACAAATCAATGAAGATGGATGCCTCCACCCCGTTGAGCTTCCTTCTCTTCCTCCTCCGCCATCACCACCATCTCCATCTTTTCTCTTTCTTCTCTCTCGCCTCTTCTCTCTTCCTCTTCTGTTCTCTCTTCTCTCTCTCTCTCTCTCGCTCTCGCTCTCTCTCGCCTCTTCTCTTCCCTTTGTCTGTATTCAAAAGCAAGAAAAAGAAGGGAATAAAAAAAAGAATACCTAAAACAACGTCATTTTAAATATTCGAGCCACTTTCAAGTAAACTTTTTCGAACTACGAAGTATTATTCATATAAAAGTAGAGTGTGTCGTTAATATTTATATTTTGGGGAAAGGAAGAGGATTGATGCCTTTGATGATCTAGGCGATTCCATCATCAAGAAAATGCACGTGCATTTTGGGTTGATTTGCATGGAAGGCTTGCTTGAATATTATCCCCACCCGGGACCGATTATGGCAACGCCGAGTGCCTATTGAACTTGGGTGTGACTATTGTGACGAAGCTGTGGAGACTTTAATGCACTGTGTTAAGGAATGTGATGTGGCGCAACAAGTATGGGCTGCTAGTCCTTTGCCGTTTGTTACAGATATTGGGGTGGGGTATGATTTTTATCATTGGGTAGTTGAGGTTGCGAAACAAGTTGATGAGGCCGGCTTGGGGCTGTTCTTTGCACTGTGTTGGGGCTTGTGGTTTGCTCGAAACCAAGCCATATTCAATAATGTTAAGCGGGTTGCGCCGGTGATTGTGCAGACAGTGTGTACTTATTTACAAGACTTCTGTCAAGTCAGAGCCCAAGTTCAAGGATTGCAGGTCTGTCCTAGTCCGTCGAGATGGAGGCCACCGCCAGTGGGTGTGTTAAAGATTAATTTCGATGCGGCGACTTTTGATGCTCTGGAGGCCATTGGGGTAGGTGTGATTGTTCGGGAGGCGCATGGTACAGTTCTTGCTGCCATGTCGGAACGACTGCCGCATTGGGTTGATGCAGATTGTGCTGAAGCTTTCGCCGCGGCAAGTGCGATTGCGTTCGGGGCAGAACTGGGTCTGCATCATATTCACTTGGAGGGGGACTCTTTATCCATTATAAAAGCTTTGCAATGTGAGGATCATCTGCTCTCCACGTTTGGCCATATTCTTCAAGGTGCTCTGAGTACAAGCCGCTGTTTCACCAGTTTTTGCTGCTCGCATGTGTTGCGCAATGGAAATAAGGCTGCTCATGGGCTGGCTCGTATGGCGGGTCATGTGATCGGTAAGAGAGTTTGGAGGAATGATGTGCCAGCTGATTTATGTAAGATTATTCGGGCTGAGTCTGTTTAGTTGTTATTTGTATTGACCTTTCTAAAAAAAAAAAAAAGAATATAAATAGTTGAAAAACAAAAGCAAAGTATATATATCTTATTCACCCAAAATAAATATGGTAATGTTAGGGACATCAAATTTTCTACCAAACAAATGACCAAATGTCTCACATGGGGTGTGGGGTCCGCAATTTTGTGGGTCCCAGTGAGACATTTGGTCATTTATTTGGTAGAAAATTTGGGACCTCTAGCATTTTCTAAATATATATATATATATATATTTTTTAAGAATTTATATCAGAAACGTATCTTGAAAAATTGATTATGGTGAAAATGAATTTTTTTAATTGTTTTTAACTTTCATTTTTTTTATTATTAACTTTTAATTAGAAAGAAACTTGATATTAGATGTACACGTCCTTGGCTCAAATTGTAATAAACCATAAGTTAGAATAGAATAGATTAGGATTATAAATTGAACATCCCAATTCCAAAAGCTGGTGTGCTTTCTTGATAGTAAAATAATACAAAGTTTTCAGAGGAAGATCAGGTTATGGTGTCATGTGGCTTCTGGATTTGCTTACTTTGTTTATTACTTAGGAGTTAAAAAACAAATCTTAAAACGAGAGGATCTTAAAGAAGCATATAGGGTGTGGCTCAAATCATTGTAAATTTACTATATCTGAAGATTTTCAGTATGGTTTTGCCGCTCCCACTTTGCACTGAATTTAAGATTGCTATTTATCCAATATGCAAAATTTGATTTGGTTTGGAAGAAATTATTCAGTGTTAGTGGTACTAATGGGTTTGCTTATTTTTCCTTCATTTTGGGATGTTTGTTCTGACCGTATCCAATTTTTGGCATCAAACCCTGTAAGAGAAGTGCTTATCAAGGATATTACTTTGCTGCTCTGTGAGACAGTGAGTAATCTTATAGGACTCTACGCATACACAAGCTGGTTGCTGTGGATGAATTTGATGGATTTGTAGAGGCAAATATGTATGGGCGATGGATGTGCATTATTTATCTAATTTTGTATCCACCTCCCTTATTTTTGCTATACAGGCTTGGGGTGAGCCTAGCAAGTTTGGGCCCGAGTCCAGCCTGAACCCCTAGGTCTAGGAGTAATTCTAGTTTCACACACCTAATTATCTCAGTATATATACTTAATGAACTATTCTTTTAATGACAATTATATCCTAAACTAAAACGACCATAATGGATATCTACTAACACCTATAATATTATATGAAAATACTCTGTACACATCTTTTAAAAATAAAAAAATCTCAATGTACACATTTTGAGTAAAAAAAAAAACTAAATCCTAATTTTTCTATTGTTGTCACTTTGCTTGCTACACACTCTATACTCTTCTATTACTTACAAAGTAATACTCTCATATTGTTTTAATATTTAGGTTTATACTCTATTAGTGATGAAAATATTAGTTTTTTCGTGCAAAATTTTTTTTTCTTCCCTTTCTTGGTTTTTAGTCAGACAACCAGTGCCAAATTATTTTATTATATTTAGACATCAATTGCAGAATTATTTCCTTATATTCAGACATCAATTATCGATTCTTTTTTATTTTTTTCGAAACAAATTTATCGAACTAATCACTTTTATTCAGAAGTAAAATTTTGAAATAAATACATAATTTCAAAATACTACAGCTGAAAGCTCACAGTCAGCAATATCGATTCAAAAAACAAAAGGAAATTCTTAATTGTGCTTTTTAGGCATTTCCATGCTGCTTGTAATTATAGTTCTTCAAAATTTTTGATTTGCAGATTTTAAGTGCATATTTTGTGGTTCTTCC